CGGACCACCGCGCGACGAGGAGGGAGAATACGGCGCCCCAGCCCCGACCCTAGCCCACACAGGTAGGAAGGGCGGGCACCCCTAAGACTATAGCCGCAACCCCAACCCTAAGCCTAAGCCTAACCCTAGCCCACACAGGTAGGAAGGGCGGGCACCCCTAAGACTATAGCCGCAACCCCAACCCTAAGCCTAAGCCTAACCCTAGCCCACACAGGTAGGAAGGGCGGGCACCCCTAAGACTATGGCCGCAACCCCAACCCTAAGCCTAAGCCTAACCCTAGCCCACACAGGTAGGAAGGGCGGGCACCCCTAAGACTATGGCCGCAACCCCAACCCCAAGCCTAAGCCTAACCCTAGCCCACACAGGTAGGAAGGGCGGGCACCCCTAAGACTATGGCCGCAACCCCAACCCCAAGCCTAACCCTAACCCTAGCCCACACAGGTAGGAAGGGCGGGCACCCCTAAGACTATGGCCGCAACCCCAACCCTAAGCCTAAGCCTAACCCTAGCCCACACAGGTAGGAAGGGCGGGCACCCCTAAGACTATGGCCGCAACCCCAACCCCAAGCCTAAGCCTAACCCTAGCCCACACAGGTAGGAAGGGCGGGCAGTGGGAGGCGGAGGCGGATGGCTGCTCCAACGGAGTGCGGGCGAAGGGCGGGCCCGTGTCCTGCCGAGCACGACTCTGAAGACTCTTCTCTAGGCATCTAGGCCGGACCAGTCTTCGCCCCGCCTCAGCGCCTCGCCAAGCCCCCTCGCCACGCGGTCGAGATCGTCGCCTGCTCTCGCCCAATCTCGCGTCATCTCGCGTCACTCTCGCGTCAGCTCGCGACGCGGGCGAGCTCGCCGCCGCCGCCGCCTCCACCTCCGCCGCCGCCGCCGCCCTCCCACCCCCCCTCGTGCTCGCTCCCCTCCCACCTCGTCAGGCCGCCGCCCGCGCCCCTCCCTTCGCCTCCCGCCTCAAGCCCGGGCAGCGACGCGGCCGGCGGCGGGGTGGGGCCGAGGCGGCGGTAGCCGCTGTAGCCGCCGTAGCCTCCAAACCCGCCCGACGCCTCTTCTGCCTCGACTGCGAGAGAGGGGGGAGGGGGGTGGGAGAGAGGGGGGGGTGGGAGAGGGGGAAGGGAGAGGGGGAAGGGAGAGGGGGAAGGGAGAGGGGGAAGGGAGAGGGGGAAGGGTGAGAGCGAGGGGAGCGAGAGAGAGAGAGAGAGAGAGAGAGAGAGAGAGAGGGAGAGAGAGAGGGAGAGAGAGAGAGAGAGAGAGAGGGAGGGGGGGGAGGGGGGGGGGGGGGAGAGAGAGCGAGAGGAGCGAGAGAGGGAGCGAGAGAGGGGGGGAGGTGCTGCTGCGGAGGAGGGGGGCTGGCCGCTAGTCTCGGCTAGATCTCGGCTACATCTCGCCCAAGTAGTCCTCTTCGTCCGGCAAGTCCGACGTCTCGTCGATCACTCGCCTGCCTCACGAGTGCACCCCACTCAGGACCGCCACCACATGCGGGCTGTGAACTCACGCGCAGGCCGTGAATACACACGCGAGCTGCGAAAGCGGCGGAGCGCGGTTCAAGACGGCTGGGGAGATCTGGGGAGATCTGGGGAGATCTGGGGAGCACGGTTCAAGACGGCTGCATGCGCGTCCTCTCTGTAACACCGCTCGGCACTACGCGGACCTGCACTCCGCATCTAGGCCTCGACATCTGGGGAGATCTGGGGAGATGCGGGGAGATCTTTCCGCATCTAGACTCCACGCGCAGCGCGCGCGAGAAGAGCTCTTTCCTCCACTGCTGCTCCACCGCCATCCAGCGCTCGAAAGTGCCTAGAAGGCTCCAAGAAGGTTCCTAGAAGGCTCCTGCGGCTCCACCGCCATCCAGCGCTCGAAAGTGCCGACACGGGGGTCGTCATCTCCCGCGCCTGCGGGACATGTCTCGGACATGTCACGGACGTGTCGTGGAGATGTCCCCGGGGCGCCCCTGGCACCGAGGAGTCCGCCACGCGTTTCTCCTCCCGCCAGCCGCCCGCCGCTGCCCCCTCCCTCCTCGCCGCCTCCTCCCTCCTCGCCGCCTCCCCCCCCCCAGTCCCGCTGCCGGCTCCGCCACGCTAGCTCGGCGGCGTCGCGCCTACTCTAGCGCAATCTCGGGTAACCTCGCGCAATCTCGGGTAACCTCGGTACCCACGGCGCCAGCTCGGCGGCATCGCGCCTGATCGGGTCCATGTGCACTACATCCTGGCTCTCTCGGCTATCTCTCGGCTGTCTCTCGGCTGCCTCTCGGCTGCCTCTCGGCTTCCTCTCGGCTGTCCCTCGGCTGCCTCTCGACTGCCTCTCGTCTGTATCTCGCGCCGCAAAAAGTCAGTCGCGGCGGGGTTGCGGCGACCCCATCGCTCGGCGGAGCGCTGCGCCTCGGGCATGCGCCGGTACGCCTCCAGCGCCTCCCGCCGCCGCCGCGCCGCCTCCTCGCGCCTCGCGTCCTCGCGTTGCATCCTACCGACAAAACGGCGCAGGCAAACGCGTCCGTTGATCGGCCACGGGCAGACAGACGCCTCTGCCGGGCGCTGTGAGGCAGTGCTCGGCGGCGGTGCGAGGCGGTGTGCTGGCGCGGAGGGGGGAGGAGGAGGCGCGTCGTGGCGGGGCGGTGTAGTGAGCAGGCAGGGCGGGCGCTGCAGTTCCTGTACCTGGCGACCACCAGCTCGGCGCTGTCGCCCTCTGCAAGCTCACGGCGCATCCGAGCTAGCTCTTCGTCGCCCTCCTCTGCCGCCTCCTCCTCCGTCGCCGCCCCCGCCTCCTCTGACGACTCATCCGCCCTCCTCGCCTCCTCAGCCTTCTCCGACATGTCCTTCTCCTCTGCCACCGCCGCCACCGCCGCAGGCGCCTGCCCTGCCGCCGGTGCGCTCACGGTGTCCTTCCCGCCGTCGCCTATCGCCGCTTCGCCGCGAGGCGCCTCATGCGCCGCGCGATCCGCCTCGACGCGTGGAGGGTCCGCTGGTGTGGTTGGCGGCCGCAGCAGAGCGCCCACCTCGTCGCGGCCGCGGAGCCAGGCAAGCGGCCGCCAAGCGCACACGGCCGGGCTGGCGCGGGCCCGGACAGCAGCGCGGCGCAGGGAGGGTATTCGGCGAGCCGAGGGCGGGTCAGCTTCGCGCTGCCGCGCGTACTCCTTCCACGAGGTGCCGCTCGCGTCGCGCCTACGCGCAATGGAGCACAAGATCTGGCAAGCGGAGCCAGAGGGCCGGCGGAAGCGTTTTGACTGGAAACGCACGTGGCGTCCTGATCGACGAGCGCGACGCGCGAGGAGCGGGGTGCGACACGGGGCGCGCGAGGAGCATGCTGGACGAGCCCGGCGACGACGCACAGACCCGCCGCGAAGCGCAGCATCGCCGGCTGCGAGGCTTGCTCTCCACCGCCGCGCCCGAATTTTTTTTTACTTTTAGATCGGGGGCCCATCGCATGGACGTGACGCCCGGACGTGGCAGCCCGCTGGCTGTGTGTCTTGTGAGCTTGTTTGTGTCTGTGTGTCGCTCGTGCGTGTCGTCATCATCTGTCCAGCGTCCACCCTACCCAACCGTAGACGGCGTGAGATAGGGTGCTGACCTTTCTCGCAAGGCTCGCCGTGGCCCCACACGGCGGCCTCTGCTTGCGTTTTCGAGCCAGGACCTTCGTCCGGGCCCACGGCCGGCACGGCGTCAAATTTTCTCGCCGATACCGCGCGCTCGGCCGCCACCGCGGCGCCTCCGAGAGCGCCGTTTCGACACGCTGCAGCCGCGGGCCGCGGCACCTCGACACACCGCCTCTCGCGCCGCCTCGAGGTGCTCCGATCGTGCACGCGGGTCGGCTCGGCACGGTGCGTGCAAATTATCGCATGTATTCGCACTCGCTGCGCCACGTATCTGCCTCTGACGGCCCGATACGCCACCCGAAGCGCCACCGGTCCACACACGCGGGGCTGCGCGACTCTCTCGCGGCCCACCGCCCTCCCACACGCCGTTCGACCTCCACACAGGCGCTCGCTCGAGCCTCGCCGTCCGGGCGGTCCTGCGCGTCCAGATCTCGGCGACCATGACCCGCCACGCGCCAGCTCTGCACCTCTCCCGCGCGCGCCCGGCTGCTGGCATGGCGTGGCGGGCGAGGCTGGCGCGCTGCGACCGGTGGAGCGCCGCGCGGGCAGCGCACCAGCCTCGCACGCACCTCTCCACTGCGCCGCGTGCGCCGCTGGCAGTGTGCTGCGAGGCTCAACATGTGGTCACAGGGTAGTCAGGGTGTGGCTTGTGGTGGCTTGTGGTGCTGATCGCTGGCTCTTAGCTCCCCGGCCCTGGATGTGAGGCTAATGACTGCACTCCAAGTGCTCCAAGTTAGGAAGCCGCAGGTCCTAGCGCCTGATAACGTCACCGGCGCTTATTTCTTGATCTTTGGCAAGCCTCGATATTTCTATATTAAAACCGGCGGGCAGAGAGGGAGGGCGAGACGATCGAGGGGTCCCGTACCACGGTCCACGCGGAATCGACCCTATCCAGTGCTCAAGTGCTCAAGGTCAAGCTCGGGGCGCGTGAGCCGGACTTGTGAGCCGGACGGCTTTCATTTCTCTCTGCGTTCTCGCACAGCGAGATACTCCTTTCCGCCCCAAACTGTCACTCCCCTTTCTCCCGGCCGGGGTGGGGCGCTAACAACAAAAAAACTTAGTGAGAAACGCCGGGCAGCGTGGCGCATTACTGAACCCTCCCATACGTGTTCGAGAGAGATTTTTAGCAATACCAAACAACTCTAACACTCACACGTAATTTGGGGCCTGGAGCCCTGTTCACGCGTCGTGTTCGTGGCTCCTCCTTCGCTGTCCCATCTCCTCATCTCTCTCCCGCCTGGGCGGGGCGGCGGGTGGGCGCGCGGTGAGGCGTGGCGTGTGAGTGTGTGCGACTGCAACGACGGACCGCTCGCAAGAGACCATTGGGTTTGTACTATTAACAACGAAGGCGCTCTCAAAAAACTTGCCGGGGGGGGGGCTGTCACCCTGGTAGGGCCCTATTAGGATGGTCCTCCACTCGCTGTCTCGTGTCGCCCCAGGGCTGCTCGCGCTGCGGCCGAAGCTGACCGCCGATTCGCTGAAGCCCGGCAGGCTCCTGCGCGTGGGCAGCGCCGCCGGCCACGACGTGCATGCCGCGGTGCTGTGCTGGTGCGGCGGCGTGGCGTTCGCCGCGCCTATTGCCGGCTGGCCGCACGCGCCCGCCGTCATTTGCGGCGCGGTTCCAGCTGAGGCGGCCGAGAGCGCCGTGCTCCTTGACGACAGCCTGGGTGCCTCGCCGGACGCTGTGGACGCGGCGGCCGAGGAGGGAGGCGTGTCGGTCATCGACTGCTTTGGCGCGCCGCTCGACAGCCCGCCGACCTCGCTGCGCGACGGGTCGAGGAGGCGCCTGCCTCTGATGGCGGTCTGCCCGGGGCAGGCGGACCTCCAGCCCATCTGCGCCAGCCTCCACACAGGCACAGGCGCCACCTGCCTTTTCGCCCTCGGGCGTGTCAGCAGCAGCCCTTGCACGCGCACCGCCACCACCGCGGGTCTGGCGCCGACACCGCCGCCGCCATCGGCCGCAGGCACCGCCGCCATCGACGTCCTCACCCCCGTGGGGCGAGGCCAGGTGTGGCGCGCACTCTCTGTCCGCCTCCTCCGCACCTTTTCGCCCGCACCGCCGTTTGCGCCGCCCCGCCCACCCCGCCACCGCCTGCCGCGCCCCCCGGTCCAATCAGCTATCAATTATGGCTCATTGCTCATGCATCCGCGCCCCCCAGTCCATGCTGCTGATGGGCGAGCGGGGCACCGGCAAGTCCGCCGTTGCCATCGACGCGGTGATTGCGCAGGCGGCGCGAGACACACACACACACACTCACTCCCACATCGCTCGCCCACGCGCACTGGGCCTTGCACTTTGAATGCCGTGGGGCTCCCGTCGTCTAGACGTCGAGTCGCGAGGGCCAGCCTGGCCCTCGCCCCACCACCTTGTGTGTGCGTGGAGAAGTGTACCTGACCTCACCTCAGGCGGCGCGGCCGCTGCACTGCGTGGTTGCTCTTTCCGACCCGGGCGCCGAGGCAGCCTCGGACCTTGCCCCCCCCCCCCCTCGGTTGACGGCGTTGACGGCACGACGGCTGTGCTCAGGCTGCCCGCAGCCTCGCGGAATGGATCTGCGAGCGCGCGGATCGGCAGGTGTCGCTCTCGGCTTGCGGAGGCGCCTTTCCTCCTCCCACGATCCTGGCAGAAGACGCGCCTGTCAGCACACGTCCACGTCCACCCGCTGCCTCCCGCTCGCCACAACTCAAAAGACATCGCACTCTCACTCCTCGACCACCTCGTGCGCGGCGTGCAGCCTCCCCGCCTTCCCTCTTCCTCCCGCTCTCCCTCCTCTTTCTCTTGCTCCTCCTCCGCCCGCGCGCCTCCCGCCGCTCCGCTCCTCTCCACCGTTTCGCGCGCATCCCCCCCCCCCCCCCCCTTCCCCGGACAGCTCCACCACGCCCGCCCATGCCTTGCGCCCCTGCCTCCTCCCCCCTGCTTCTCAGGCCCCCTCCCGCCTCCGCTCCGGTCGCGCCTCACCCTGGTCGCCCCCAGAGGCGGCAGCGCGTCGGAGAGAGCCCTCTTCCTGGACCTTTCCTGGACCCTTCCTGGACCCCTTCCTGGACCCTTCCTGTAGGCGGCAGCGCGTCGGAGGGAGCGCTCGTCGCGGCGGCGGCTTGCGCGGTGGGCGAGAGGGTGCGCGACGGCGGCGGCCACGCCCTTGTGGTGGTCGACGGTTGGCGCGGCCTAAGCGCGGTGTGGGACCAGGCGGCGGCGGCCCTCACCTCCCCCCCCACGAGCGCACCGGGAGAGGGGGGCGGAGGAGAGGGAGGCGGGGGAGCAGGAGACGGCGGCCGCGGCGGCGGTGCCGGCGCGGCGCATACGGCGGTCGCCGCGGCGGTGCGTCGGCGGCTCGAGGCTGCGCAGCGGGAGACCTCGGCGGAGCAGCGCGTCTTCTACGGCGCGCTGCTGCAGCGCGCGGCGCAGCTCGCCCCCTCGCTCGGCGGCGGCTCCCTCTCCCTCATCGCCGTCGCGGAGCAGCTGCCCCGGCCTTGCGGCGAGGCGCACGCGGCGCCGTTGGCGGCGGGTGGCGACGGCGGTGGCGAGGGCCAAGGCGGCGGCGGCGGCGGCCGCGGCGGCGGCGGCGGCGGCGGCGGCGGCGGCGGCGGCGAGGATGTGGCTTTCCCGCTCGATCGGTTCTCGGACCGGCCCCGCTCGCAGCGCTTGCGGCTCGAGGCGCTCGCTGCGCGGGGCGTGCCGCTGACTGCCGCAACGCTCCGCGTCATCGGGATCCCGCCTCCTGCCTCCCCTTTTGGCGCTCCTGTCACGCGGCTGCCGGGCGGTGGGGGCGAGGGCGAGGGCGAGGGCGAGGGCGAGGGTGAGGGCGAGGGCGAGGGTGCGGGCCAGGGCGCGGCCGCAGCGAGCAGCGCGGCGTTGTTCGCCGCGCGAGCCAGTTGGTCCCACATTGACCAGCTGCAGTCGCTCGCAGACGGCGCCGCGCCCTAGAAGCGGAAGATCTCCCCATATCTCCCCGTATCTCCCCGTATCTCGTGCCCTAGAAGCGGAAGGGGGAGCCGTGGAGTCCGACGGGCGCTCGAGAGGACGCGTATTCGGCTGCACTCGACCGCTGTATTCGTCGCCCGTGTACCCACGCGGTGCTCTGAGCACACCGCACGAGACCGTGTTCACACCCTGGCCTCGGCGTGTTCGGCTGCACTCGACCGCTGTATTCGTCGCCCCTGTAGCCACGCGGTGCTCTGAGTACACCGCACGAGACCACCCTCCCGCCCCCGCCTCGGCGTGTTCGCAGCATAGGCCACGATGCGCTGCTACCGCACCACCCACGGGACTGAACCCGCACTGGATTCGACCACTCTGGAGGTATGGTAGGCCACGTTCAGCTGCTTGCCTCCGAGTGGGCCCGCGGGGTGCGGCCGGCGCTGCGGCCAGCCGAGTCGATCGCGCGCGTCGGCGTTGGGTCGGACACGGCGAAGCGTCCACGGCCAGCATCGGCGGCGATGTTGCGGCTATCGGTGGGGCACGCCTCTGGCGACAGCGTGTGTGGGCCGTTTTCTGCCACGTTTTCTTCTTCTTGTCGGCAGGCGGGGTTGCGGCTCGAGCTGGCGCAGGCGGAGGATTTGCCGGCCGCTCTCGGCGACGCGCACACGCGGCTGCAACAGACGCGCGCACGCGCACTGGCGGCGGTGCTCGGCACGCACCGGGAGGGGGTGCCGCTGGCTCTGTCGCAGCAGGTGGCTGCCTGGACCCTTGCCCCAGCACCTTATGTGTGTGGAGAAGCTCACTTGACCCTACCTAGCAGGTGGCGCTGCTCCTCGCGATCCTCGACGGGCGCGCCGCCGTCGCCCTCCGCACTCCCGTCACGAGCCCATCGACCTCGCCGGCCCTGCCTCGCCCTACAGACGCTTCGGCCACAAATGAATGAATGAATGAATCAGTCCATTTTGCCGCGCCCCAGGCGCCTCGACCACCTTGCCACCGCCGCGCCCGCCACCGCTGCCGAGGAGGTGGCGGGTTTGCTCGATAAGCTGCGCGCCTCGCCCACCGCCGCCGCCGCATTGCGCGCCGTCGACGAGAGCGAGGAGCTGGCGCCGCCGGAAGAGTCGGCTCTGCTCGCCGCCATCGCCGAGCACATGCCGCGTGCGGGCGGGCGTGGTTTGTTTGCCTCGTGGCAGACGACTGCGATTGCGACTCGGAGTTGATCCGCATGCATTTTATATTTTATTGCACGTTGCTCGTTGGCCCTCGGGTTCGACGTGTTTCGTGTTCCGGCGCGCGATACAAGGCCCATCAAGCAGCCAGAGAGAGAGAATTAGGCTTTAGCCTCCAGCTGCGCGGCATTTGAGTGGCGCAGTGGCTTCTGGTGCAATCTCATGGGTACGACGGCGTCAACGCCTCGGGTATGACTTGCTTGTTGCTACTTCAAGATCGCACCACGAGCGAGTGACGGGTAATCGTGGCCGTGGCCAAGAAAGATATCAAATATTAAGGGCTTATTTTGCCTACCGCGAAAAACTCGACGGTTTTGGGCGTTTCAGAGCACGCTGAACAGATTGGCTTAGCTCTATAATTCTCGCCAGCCCTTTCCTTTCATAATTATTGACTCAAAACCTCTGCGCCGCGCAGATGAGCTCCGCCTCGTCTGCGTCGAGGACGCCCATCGCAGGGCTGTCATAGCGCCATATGACGTACTGCATGTTGTTCATTACTTCGCAGGTGCCAAAGTGGAGGACAATCTCACTCAGCGATGGCGAAGGCTGCACTCCCGGCCGGCGGTAGGAGAGATGAAGGCTAATGTACTTGGCGGTGCCTTCCGGCGTGAACAGTGCCCCGGTACGAAAGAGGAGGCGACGTCTCCCTCGTCCACGAGCGCCTCGATGTGCGCATCGACGGTGTAGCCAGCTTTGAGAGACGGGAACGAGCGGCGGTGAATCGCCGACAGCGGCGCCTTCGTTTCTTTCCCGGTGGATTGCCGACGGGTGCCCTGAGCGTCGTATCTGTCGGCCCGTTGTCGCACCGCCGGCAGCAGCTCCGCAGCAGCCGCCCAGATGGCGCCGGTTAGGACAGGAGCGAAGCCGCGTGGACACGGCTGAGCGACGCCGTGCGCCTCGTTTGGATGCTGCAGGCATGCCGGGCAGCGTGAGCGCGCGCGCGCGTGCTCCATACCGCGTCGGGCGCCCGCCGAAATCTTCGATTTCTTTGGCGTATCTAGATAGGGGACCAAAAACCCTGAACATTTTCTTCGCCTGCGGCGGGCAATTAACTTCGATACTTTCGCTTTCACAGCTCTTTCACACGATTTTATCCGTCACTCGCTCGACTCAGTTCTTTCTTCCAGACTCGGAGATTAATTAGGCTGAACAAGGTTTTCCTCGCACCCCGTCTCTTTTCCTTTCCTTTTTTCTCTGCAGCACCCTCTCTTTTCCTCTCTATTTTCCCGGGAGAACCATCAAATTTTCCGGGCTCTGAGCCGAGTCTGAGGCTGGTTTGGGCCCAAAATCAGCCAAATCGGCAAAATACCGGGTATTTTGCGGGTATACCTGGAAAACCCCGGGTATACCTGGAAAATATCCTGCGACCGCCTGGGTATCGTGCCGATTTCCTCAATTTTGCGTCAGATTTTGCCCCAGACCAGCTCTCAGACTCAGGGAAACTCGCGAGTTTCCAGAATGGAGCCTGAGGGAGGGTGTAGAGGATGTAGAGTGTAGAGCGCTGTAGAGCTGTAGAGATGTAGAGCGCTGGAGAGCGCTGTAGAGCTGTAGAGCTCTACATCCGCCGCGTGACGAAGCGCCTCCGTTGTAGAGCGATGTAGAGGCGCTCTACAACGTGAAATCTCTACAACAAACTCTACATCATAAGCGGCGAACGAGGCACGGTCGCTCTCCGACATGAGGCGCGTTGCACTTGCCAGTGCTGCCCTGGCCTTCTGTCTGCCCGCCCAAATGGGTGGCAGGTGCCTCTGCTGCTATGGCATGCCTCACGGCTGCGACTGGCCGGCGCCTCGGCGCGTCAGCTCGGCTCGGCGTAGCGATAGTGGCCAGCGCAACTCGCCTGGACTGTCTCAACGCTCAGCCAGGAGCTCCCGCACGCGCTGGCGCGAGTCATGGCGCATGCAACGCGCCTGAATGCTCGCCTCGCCTCGCGCAAATGCGACCGTCCTCGCAGCCGACAACCGCCTGCTAAAGAAGCACAGCAACGAATGCGGCACCGGCGACGGGCTGGTCATGACGCAGTTATAGGGTGTTGTGTGCCGTCAGAGTGACTCTCTGTGTGTCAGGGATAGTCAGGGCTGTCCATCAGAGCTCCAGTAAGCTCGGAGACACCCCATTAGCGCGGCTCGACCTCTTTGAGTCACTGCCTTCCCGGCGGTTTGGCTGTAGAGCCTCTACAACAAACTCTACAACAAAATCGCGCTCTACATCGCTCTACAACGGAGGCGCTTCGTCACGCGGCGGATGTAGAGCTCTACAGCTCTACATTGCTCTACAGCGCTCCAGGGCGCTCTACATCTCTACAGCTCTACAGCGCTCTACACTCTACATCCTCTACACCCTCCCTCAGAATGGAGCACCAAACACCCTCTGTTTTCCCTGGAAATTTCCGGAAACGCAAAGTGCTGGGGACCCTCTGTTTTCCTTTTTGTTTGCCGGAAAAGCTTGTGCAGGCCAACTCGGAGAAGAGTCGTGATTTCTGGCGCTTGGTTGTCAAACAAAAATCGCTCCTCCTGGCTCCCTGCAGCGGAATGAGAATGGCCAGAAAGTAGGTGAGTCCGTGCATGATTTATTTCACTCAAGATGCGGCTCTAAAGAACGAGGTGAACTTGGTGTGTGCTGAGGGAGGGTGTAGGTAGAGGATGTAGAGTGTAGAGCGCTGTAGAGCTGTAGAGCTGGGGAGCGCTGTAGAGCTGTAGAGCTCTACATCCACCGCGTGACGAACTGCGTGCGTTGTAGAGCGATGTAGAGGCGCTCTACAACGTGAAATCTCTACAACAAACTCTACATCATAAGCGGCGAACGAGGCACGGTCGCTCTCCGACATGAGGCGCGTTGCACTTGCCAGTGCTGCCCTGGCCTTCTGTCTGCCCGCCCAATGGGTGGGAGGTGCCTTTGCTGCTGTGGCATGCCTCACGGCTGCGACTGGCCGGCGCCTCGGCGCGTCAGCTCGGCTCGGCGTAGCGATAGTGGCCAGCGCAACTCGCTTGGACTCAACGCTCAGCCAGGAGCTCCCGCACGCGCTGGCGCGAGTCATGGCGCATGCAACGCGCCTGAATGCTCGCCTCGCCTCGCGCAAATGCGACCGTCCTCGCAGCCGACAGTCCACCGCCTGCTAAAGAAGCACAGCAACGAATGCGGCACCGGCGACGGGCTGGTCATGACGCAGTTATAGGGTGTTGTGTGCCGTCAGAGTGACTCTCTGTGTGTCAGGGATAGTCAGGGCCGTCCACCAGAGCTCCAGTAAGCTCGTAGACACCCCATTAGTGCGACTAGACCTCTTTGAGTCACTGCCTTCCCGGCGGTTTGGCTGTACAGTGGGTTGCGGGCATTAAGAAAACAGGATTCCGCGGCACGCCGCCGTTTCTAAGCCTTTCCACAGCCCTGATCCACCCCACGCCGTGGGTTCTCAGCTCCCCGGCCGGCACTCAAGCCAGAGCCGGCCCGAAGGAGTTTTAGGTAAGAGGTAAGCTGCGGTCCGCGAGGGCGATGCCAGAGCCTGCCGCCGAGTCGGCTCTCTGGATGACGGGAAGACGCACACACACGCCTCCATCCACACACTCCACTCAGGAACACCGCAGACTTGGAAAGTGACAAGTGTGCGCGCGCCGCAGGCGAAGAGAAATTTTGAGCTGGGGCTCCCGTTCACACTCGTGGGTGGCCTTTTCTCGGGGCCGCGCCTGCGGCGCCGTAACCTGTGCTGCTGCTGCTGCTGCTGATGATGATGATGATGCTGCTCCTGCTACCCTCCCACCCGCCCGCCCTGTCCGCCCGCCCTTCGAGCCCGCCCTGCCCGCCCGCTCGCAAGGGGCCTTCACCTACACACTGGTCTGCTCCCCACATCTCCCCACACCTCCCCACACCTCCCTCTCCCCACACCTCCCCACATCTCCCCACCTCTCCCAACACCTCCCCACACCTCCCCTCTCACCTCCCCACATCTCCCCACATCTCCCTCTCCCCACATCTCCTGCATGCGTCAGGTCGTGGCGTGAAGCGTTGAGCCCGGCCTTTGAGCCGCTGTGGGATGCTCGACGACGGGTCACGCGACGGGCGAGAGATCGTCGGGCGCGGGACGTCCTATTCCCTCCGTCCGAATTTTAGGGGTTTGAGTGTGAAGGGGCGTGTCCTTTTCTGTGAAGGGGCGGGTAGTCTCCCTTCCAGGGCTCGCACCTCAGCCTCTCATAGACCAGGGCGGAAGTATTTTATGTATGTAAAAGAGGGATCGGCTCGATTGGACGGAGGCTGGACGCGTCCGCTGGGCACATGCTGACTGAGCCGCCAGGCAAAGCTTGTGCTGTGAATAGCCCAGCGCTGACTTCTGACTGTCGTTGCTGTCTTTCCCCCTTCTCGACTGTCTGTGCTTGTGCGTCTTGGGTCCGGAGTTGTGCGTTTATGTGAATAGCAGGCGTGGTCTCTACTCGACAGCGTGTACGTGGGCGAGATCAAGGAGGGCGCCAGCGAGGGCTACGGCTGGAAGCGCTGGGTCGTGAACAGCGACGGGTCCTTCCACGCCAAGGGCAGCGTGTACGAGGGCAAGTGGAAGGAGGGCAAGAAGTGGGGCTACGGCACGGCGCGCTACGCCAGCGGCAACGTGTACGAGGGCGAGTGGAAGGCGAACGAGAAGGAGGGCAAGGGCAAGATGTGGTACGCCAACGGCAACGTGTACGAGGGCGATTTCAAGGCGGACAGGAAGGAGGGCAAGGGCAAGATGTGGTACGCCAGCGGCAACGTGTACGTGGGCGATTTCAAGGCGGACGTCAGGGCGGGGAAGGGCAGGTTGCGCTACAAAAGCGGCAAGGTGCAAGTGGGCCGCTACGAGGGCGACAAACTGGTGGGCTCGGCGGCGAAGTGGAGCAAGGACCGCCGGAAGGCGTGGAGCGTGCAGGCTAAGCGGGGCGGCGGCTTTCAAGAGAAGCAGATCTCGCTCCAGACCGCGGCGGAGAAGGCCGCACGCCTCGGCCTGCCGGTGCCGCGGTAGTGGGGATGCCGCCGCGTCGGCAGCGGCAGCGTGCGGTGTGGTGAAGGAGTAAGGGGTAGATACTATACAGGGAGGAACAAAGGGGGGAGTAAGAACGGTGCGGTGTGGTCTGTGGTGTTGAGACGCGATGCAATGTTGGGCATCATGGCTTGTTGCACCCATGGCCCGCTAAGGATTGTTCACTTTCGTGTGTCGCATTTGACGACCGATGGACAATTGCATGCGACGGACGTGGCAGACGATGGACCCTTGGTGGTCTGCTCTTCTCGACCGGCAATGAATGGTTTGGCTTTCTCGACCAACTCGATCGACTATCGGTCGGACCAGTCGTCTGTCAAGTCATCCGGATGCGATTGTCCATGCGATTGACTTCGACTTCGTCTCTTTCCTCTTCTGCAGTTTCTTGTCTGTTCAGCCACGTTTCGGCTTTGCCAGTGCGCCACTGCTCCCAACACTGATGTCCTCATGGCGCGTTCTGGGCGCAAACAGTCCGAGCGCCGCCACTCGGATTGATGAAGTCGAGGCAACCGAGGGCACCGATGGACAGACTGCTGACGTCGAGGCCACCCTTGAGGTCGAGGCAACCTTGGTGGTCTCCGACGATGGAGTCACTTTCGGCGTCGAGCCCATCGATGGAGTCGAGGACATGATTTGCCACGTTGCGAATCGAATCGTGTCACTAGAAGCGGTGGGTCTGGACGTCCAGACACAGACAGCGGACTGCTCTAGCAGTGACCCCGTCTACTCGTCTTGGGAACCCTACCCTGAGGCTTACAGCCCAGGACCAGCTTCCGACGACGAGGAGGCGCTGCCGACCCTGGAGCCTGTTGAGCTACCGCTCACACCCATCGGGTGAACCACCCAGCCTGGTACGGACTGGCCACCCTGCCTTTTGGGAGCCTGCCTTTGCCCGATGGCCTGCTCGCAGACCAGATTGCTACCTACCGAAGGCTGCCCATAGAGGAGCCCGAGATCGAGACGGTCATGGAAGACTCTTCCAGACTTACCTCTACCATTCGAGCCTTCTCCATCATTTGGCTGGTCTGGCTGACGGGCATTCGATGGCAAGTACTGCTGCTCCTCTTACCAACTGCAACATGCTGGCTGCTGCATATCAACGAGGGGGCTGAGGTTTTGACCGCTGCTCCTGAGGGATCCCAGGTCACGTTTGGCTCTATCCTTTGGCCCCTCTCCTTCGTTTACCTTGCAAGATCTGCTGCCGTTTCTTGCTGGAGCAGCATTCTTCATGCTACCGAGCGTCGAGGGGGCACGAACGCGGCGCAGCGCCCGGTTTGGCTTAACGGCTGAAGAGCGCACCGCCATCAACATCCTCGACGCCGTCCCCGTCGTCGTGTGGATCGTGCTGTCCTTCGCCTACAGACTTCGCCGCCAAGCTGCTCTTGCCCTCCGAAAGCGAGCGCTGTCTTGCTTCCGAAGACACTTGGCACAATCGAAGCTGCTTGCCGATGCTCGAGCAATCATCGCAACTCGAGCTTTGCTATCGCACCCTCCTCGTGCTCTTCCGCTTGAGGTTGCTTGTGACGCAGTGGTCTCCTCCCAAGCTCTGGATGCGAGAGAACCTCGCCCGGCCGCCCGTGCACGACATCGACGTGCCGTACCAGCGAGTCGACGACTTGCAGTCAATTGCGCTTTGCCTAGCCTCAGCACAGGCGCCGTCGTCCAAGCTGACCCGCCTCGTCAACCGGACGATGGTGGAGGGAGGAGCGCCTTACCGAAACTGCGTCGGTCTGCCTCACTACCCGCCCGACTCATTTGACAACGATCTCACCTACCCAATCAAAGGGCACTACGAGCGTGTCAACGGGACGCTCTGGAAAAAGATGTAATCTCTTTCCGCTGCATTAATTGCTGTACCTTTGGCATCCAGATTCCCAGCCGCTCGATTTCGTTGTACCCCTGTCCAACGATAGGGATTTCATTCTATCGACTTCGAGCCGTTCTTAAATTTTGGGTCTTTAGCAGTGCCACAAGAGACAAGGGTTGGGCGTGCTCCTCACTCCCTTCGTTGCGTTCCTTTGGCAAGGGCGCTTCATGTACCATGCCGAGGTTTGCTCCGCCTCCGAGGAGCCCACAGAGCCCGTATAACAACTATAATGCGAACAATGCATCTCTCCATCGTTTGCACTATGACCTGTCGCTTCCCCGAGTATCGGACGGGCACCTCAGGCCAATGCACGAGGGGGTCTGTCAATGGAAACCACTTCACAGCTATGCCTTGCTTCTTTAGGTGCCCTTTGTATATCTGACTCTTCCGCATGAGCACCAGAGAGAAGGCAAAAGGCAACATAAGGCAGGATCTCTCTGGATGGGGGAACAACGAAGGGGGAACAACCCACACCACACAAGACGCCAAAGCCCAAAAGAATAACAACATACACCGACAGGTTTTCACACCACATACTGGTTGCCCCTTCCTATGTCTCACTGCTTTGTCTCCATCGAGGCCCGATCGACATCCTCACCGCCCGAGCTCTTCGAGCTGGCCTGGCGGCAGTGGGGCGCCTCTGCGCGAGCGTTCCAATCGAGCCCGTACGAGAACCGCGAGGAGATCCGCGCCGCGGCCAAGGTCTTCGAGAGCCTCAGCGCGGCTCCGGCACTGCTGAGCGACAAGGCGGTGTCGCGACTGGCGCTCGCTCGCTCCACCATCGAAGCGATGCTGCCGCTGTGCGAGGAGCCCGCCGCAGCCTCCGTCGCAGAGGAGCCACTCTGCAACGCCGTGCAGTCGCTCTTCCGCACCGCGAGCGGCGAGGGCATCGGCGTCGGGCCGCCCTCTGCGCAACGCACGGCGGAGCGGGCGCCGGGCGGAGGACGGCGCAGCAAGAACTCGCCCGGAGGCCGCTGCTTGTGCCTCAGCAGCGGCTTTGGCGAGTTCAAGAGCCAGCAGTGCACCTACCTGCCGCTCCGCACGCGCAACGGCACCAGCCACGCCTGCCGCATGGACCGGCTGAGGGAGGGCGAGTCGCTGCTGGGGACGCTGGAGCAGTTCTGCCGCGCGTACTACCACGCAAACCAGTGGGAGGCGCAGGTGTACCTCTGCCTCAAGTGCGGCCCGGACGCGACTGGCTCGCGGCTCGTCCTGCCCGAGGGCGTGGAGGTCGGCGGCATGAGCGGCGGCGCCGAGGGCAACGGCGCCGAAAGCGGCGGCGAGGGCGGCGGCGAGGGCGGCGGCGAGGGCGGCAGCGGCGAGGGCGGCGGCGGTGAGGGCGGCATCGCGACGGCCCCCGACGGCGACATCTGCGGCAAGGTGCAGGTGGTGGCGGTGGTGCGGCTGCTCGGCCACGACGGCAGCGAGTGGATCTGCCGATATGCAAACTGCTTCCGCGGCTCGCCTCGCTAGATGCCGATCCCTCGACACCCGACCTCATAGCCGACCTCACAGCCCCGTGCTCAGCTGTCTGGAGGCGCTTGAGTCTCACTGGGTTCGCCGCGCAGGGTCGTCCGAGGCCAACGTGCACGCCGAGAGCTTCGTCATCGCAGACGAGACCATCCTGTCGGCGGTGCGCGCGGGCGAGGTTGCCGAGCTGACGCTCTACCTCTCGTATCAGCCCTGCCACCACTCCGGCGGCCGCTTCGGTGGAGGCGAGGCGCGCCAGCGGCGGCGCGCGCACCGGCAGCACCCCACCTCGTGCACCGAGGCGCCGATCGCCACGACGAGGGAGGTTCCCTCCTCGCCTCCCCCGAGCCGCCTCGGAGACTTCTCTAGGCGCTGATCGCCTACCACGAGCGCGAGCTCGCGCCGTACAACGTGCCGCTCTCGGTTGTGGTCGCCGACTTGTACAAGGTCATGTGGACCGAGGAGCTGATGGGCGCGCGCCGCCGGCCCGTAGCTTCCTGCCCAGCCAGAGGGCGCGCCTCCCTCACCGCGCGTGGGTCGAGGCGCCGTAGGCGAGGGGCAGGTGCGAGACGTGTACGCGGCCGACGCGAGCGCGGGCCGGGAGGGGATCCGGCGGCTGATGTCGCAGCCGGGGATGTCGATGCGTGCCACGGGCGAGGAGGACTGGGCCTTCCTGATCGGCCTGTGCGACCAGTCGGTGCAGGAGGAGTACGAGCGACGCGGCGAGGCTGGCTCGGCCTTCGGCCCCACCCACGTCGCCCTGCGGTGCGGGGCACCGCCTCCTCCGCCCGCGCCGCCCGCGCCCTCCCCACCCCCTCGCTCGTCTCGCAGGGCGAAGCTCGACGCGGTCATTGCTGACTTCCTTGCGGCGCAGCATGCTGAGATGGCCGCGGCGGCGGAGGCGGCGGAGGCGGCGGAGGAGGCCGAGGAGGCCGAGGCGGTGGAGGCGGCCGAGGCGGCGGAAACGGCGCCCGCGCCGGCGGGGCCCGCCACCGAGGGTTCGGCGGAGGCGGCGGCCGCCCAGCGCCTCCCGGACAACAAGAAGAAGGTGTACGGTCGCGACTTTCTCCTCTCCTGCGCGCCGCAGCCCGCCGCGGCGCCCTCGGAGGAGGAGTGCGCCCCTCCGGCGGCCGTCGACGAGACCACCAACTTGCCGCTTTCGCCCGAGGTGTCCCGTGACGAGACGACGAACTTGGAGGCCGACGCTGCCGCGCTGAACGGGGCGAGCGGTCCGGACGGGACCGTGTCCCCCGAGCCCGCGCCGCGTGACAGCGCCGAACAACTCGCCGACGCGCGGCTCGACTCGCTGCCTCCGCCGCTGCCTCCGCCGCTGCCTCCGCCGCTGCCGCCGCCGCTGCCTCCGCCGCTCCCGCCGCCGCCGCCGCCGTCGTCGCTGAAAGAGGAGCCGGCGGACCTCGACGATGCGGGAGCGCCAGCTGAAGCGGAGCCTCACGCTGGAGAGGAGCCTACGGCACGTCTGAGCCTGGCGGAGCTCGAGGCTATCCAGGGCGAGGCCTTGGCGGACGATATCACAATCGAGAGCAAGATGTGCGCTTGGACGGCGGAGCAGGCGATGCGCTACTTCGAGTCGGGAGGCACCGAGGAGCCTTAGTGAGGTGCCGCCGGCGAGCGGGGGAAGGCGGAGGACTCCGCATCCTCAGAGACCACACCACACCACCGTGCCTTCAACCACATGGTCGCACGCCCCCGCGCCCCGAACGAGGGGGGTGCTGGCCTGCTCTCAGCCACCATGCCGCACGCGCGTCGAGCAGCAGCTCTGGAAAACAACGATTTCAACGTCAGACCAGGTTTTTTGTTGGGTGTGGGTGGGTGGGGGGGGGGGGGGGGGCACTTCAGTTGAGTACTTGAGCACTGGATAGGGTCGAAGTCACCGGTCAGGGGCTTCAGGGCGCGGGGCGCTCCCGCAGGCCCTGGCGCCTGGGTCTCTCTCTGATGACTGACACCAGTCACCACGTGACACGTGTGCGCTGTGCGCGGTGTGGCCAACAAAGGTCAAAGCTCAAAACTTTAGGGAGCAAAACGGCGGACTGGCCATCCACATTGGGGCTTTTGGCATGTTGCGTGACTGTCTCTGTGCGATTTCGGGCCCGGGGTTGTGCGTTTATCTGAAGTATCTGAAGAGGAGCGACCACAAGGGATCCTGGTCATCACACGCATGCCCCTCCGTTGCGGGATCGCCATCAGTGAATACATGTAATTTTTACTTCTACCCCAGTACCCGTGACGAAAAACGAACAAGCACCAAGCGCTAAGCGTGAGGACACGATTGCGAATTCGGAGGTGCACCTAAGCAAAATTGAGCCCACTCAGGTGTGAATATAAGGGTCGAACAGGTTTCGAGCCGGGGACCTCTCGCCTGGCGAGAAGGCTCCCAGCAAGAAAAGCTGAGATTGTGAAGGAGGGCCCCAGGAGTTCGAAACCTATATAGCATACCGAGGGAATTAGACACCACAGATACGCACACACCGACGCCCGAAGTGCCAAGAAGGACGTCATTAGTACGAAACCTCAGAAGGCCATGGGCGCCGAGAGAACAAAAAAGAAAAAAGAAGAAAGTCGACGCACCCCCTCCTTGCGCAGTGTCCCTCGCTAAGTGTCGCCGTTATCGGGGCACGCTATCCTGTGCAGTCAGGGCATGAGGGCAAGCGGGGGCGGGACGCAGTCCCATCTCTCCTGTGTACGGGTGGGTTCTGTCTCCAGTCTCGGAGGGGGGCAAGAAGGTAAGAATATCTATTTTTTTGGTAATTTTTACTTCTGTCAAGGAACTCATGAGCGCATTGCACTAATGTTTTGCCACGCGTCGATCCAGGTCCCCACCCGTCCCCACCCGTCCCCACCCATCCCCACCCATCCCCACCCATCCCCACCCATCCCCACCCATCCCCACCCATCCCCACCCATCCCCAGCTCGCTCTATCACACACCCCAAGAGAGCCCTTGGGGAAATCCGTTCGCCATACGCTCCGAGCATGCGTGTGATGAGGAAGATGATAGAGAGGGCGAGCTTTGCATAAAAGAAGGGCGCGTGGGTCTAAATTTAGTGCGGTGTGAAGTGTTTATCTACTGCATCTTTAGCGCACTTTAGCGCAAATTCAGCGCAAATTTAGCGCAACTTTAGCGCAAATTTAGCGCAAATTTAGCGCAAATTTAGCGCGAGTTCACTGCGACTTTACATCCAGATTTAGCGAGGTTTAGTGCGTCTTTAGTCCAGCCGCGCAGTAGGATCCAGCCGCAGACCCTCGCTGGGCCTCCCTTCCCCTCTCCCCCTGCAGTTCCCTGCCCACTCGCAAAAGTTCCCCGTCCCATCCCCAACCAACCGAACGAAGGTTCTTCAGCTGAATATCAGCCTCCAAGGTGCTTTCCGGGCTGCTTCTCCGGGCCCGAGCGGCAAAACGTTGCCGGAAGCGGGGCGTGAACATAACGACTTTACTGCGTGACTTACAATCTACATGGATCATTGCCATTTGGCCGTTTCTTTCTGTCATCGTGGTCTGGATCCTTCATCCTTTGGTTCAACATTGGTTTTGAAATTCCAAGACCGACCCTCACCTCTACTCTATTACAGCTGGTGGTCACGGGCACAGCATGGGTTGTGCGGTCGGAGGTGGTGCTTGCGGTGGCCCATTCAACTGTGCTGGTCCTCCTCTCGGGAATCGGTGCTGTGCCTGTGCTCAGTCGGGAGATCTTGCTCTGGAGGGCTGCATATCTAGCCTCACTGGGAGCCTGCCTTTGGGTCATGAGGGCAGGGGCCAGGCATCTCTCGTTGTGGTGCATTCTTGGCAGCCAAGGAGCAAAGCACGCGGCCCTGGCTAGCTGTGGTGTGGCTGGGAAGCCGTGCTAAAGATGCGTGCCCGCACTAAAGATGCGGGACCCACACTAAATGTACTGCAGCTGCCCGCACCTAAAGTGAACTAAATGTGGCGCTAAATTGGAGATAAAACACACTAAATATGTGCTAAATATGTGCTAAATATGTGCTAAATATGTGCTAAATATGTGCTAAATATGTGCTAAATTTGCGCTAAATTTGCGCTAAATTTGCGTTCATAAATAGCGCACTAAACTATCACTTAAGTTCATTCACACGCACTAAATTTAGACCCAAGCGCCCTCCCTCACGCCATGGCCTCGGCCTCGAGTCGCAGCTTGCCCAGAGCTTGCCGCCGCCGTGGTGGGCAGGATGCCGGCCGGCCGCTCCCGCTGTCGGGCGCATCCGCGGTTACTGGACCGTCACGTGTTCAACGACGTTGAACAGTGTTCAACCACGGCGCTGTTCACAGCGCGCGCGGACGGCCGTTCTGCGAGTCCAGCTCCGCTGGACTTTTGTAAAGCATGCTTGTGGCAAGTTATAGACGCTAGTATCGACCTCAGAGACCCAAACCCGAATTAATAATTAAGGCTCAAAGTATGGTTGAACAACCGTTGAACAAACAGGTTGAACAACGATATCCGACTAGTGCGACCGCTAGACGGCGGTCTCCGCCGGCCCCAAGGCTGCCCAGCCCCAGTACCACACCGGCCACGTAGACCGTGGCGCTGGAGTCGGTCAGTGAGGCACTAGACGGGCTACGGAACCATGCGCGCGCCGGCCGGATAGGCTGCGCGCAGGGGCCGCGCCGCCTCGATTTCGCATCTCCGCTCCGCGGCCGACTGAGGGGCCAGCTCGCCCGGCGACAAGCCCAGCCATCGCCCAGCGCCCCGTATCGACGGAGGGCACGCAAAAAACCCGCACCTACGACTAGGGTGAGCCCGTGAGGGCGTCGGTGTCGGCCGCGGGCGGGCTGCCAGGAGGGCGCGGGTGGGAGCATGGGAGATGCTCCACCGCTCGACGAAGACGCGCCCGACGAAGCCCTGCTAGCGGAAGATGGTCGATCCTCACCTACTAGCGTCGGGCGTGTGCGAAAAAGAGCGCAAATCGGAGCTCAACTCGCGCGCGGCTGGGAAAGGGGTGTGGCACCCCTCCGAAGGCGCCTCGCGAGGAGCTGCTGCTGCCTCCAAACGCGCTCGGGCAGCACGTCGGCGCGCCTGCGGGGTTGGGGAGGTGAAACTATGCTTGCTGGCACGCGCATCCCGCACCACCCCCACGTCCGCGCGCACCATGCCGCCATCCCACCTCACAGCCAAGCGCCATCGCTGTCGGACGCGGCGACGCCGAGCGGTGGCCTCGCAGACGACGAGCGCGATGAGGCCGCCGCGCCGCCGGGGTGGCCGGCGCGTGCCAGCCGCTGGCCCGTCCAGCGTGGCGGGACCGGCTCGCCCATCCTGGCCCGCGCGCTTGCCGACGCGAGAAGATCGCGCGGGAGGGCAAATCTTGGGCAAAATGCCCTGTTTGCCAATCCTTCACGGCGGCTTCACGTCGGAACGAGTCGGATCGACGACTCCCCGCCTGCACCAGCGTGTGCGCCTTGCAATTCTATACAGAATCGACACGTGGTACGTCTTCTCAATCGCTCGTGGAGAGGAGCTACGGCCATTCCTAAGTAGTGTTCAACGACCTTGAACAATGTTCAACGTCGTTGAACACGGTCCAGTAACCGTCCGGCGAGACTCGCCTCGCCCCCGGCGCGCCGGCGAGCTGCGAGGGCACCATCCCAACGGCTGCCGTCCCTCGGCTGGCGGCGTGAGAGGCCTCGGAGGGCTCACCGAGGGCCGGCGCACGCGATGCAGGCACTACCAAGGTCCTGGCGACCGTCCGCGACCATCTCATCGTATGATTTGACTGCCAGTCGACGTTTGACGCCCAGAACTCGACGAGACCGCCACACCAACACTAACTGCGCTTCGGCGCCCGATCTCGATTCTTGCCTGCTCAGTGCCGCGATGAATCGTCGCCCTCATCGTCCGGGGTCTTCCTTTCATCCTCGGGCTGGCTTTTTGAGACCCTCGCGTTTGCCCATCTCGGTCGTTTACGACGCGTCACGCCTTCCCTCGTGCCGCAAGTAGGCGTGTGAGTGATGGTCCTGCCACCAGGTACACGGCTACACCTCGGGACGCCGTGCTGAGACGGAAAGAGCCGCCCCACGGGAGCGAAAGCCGCCTCGCGCGCCTCAGCCCGCCGGGCCCCTCGGCGGCAAGTGTGGGGTTGATACGGCGGTGATACACCCCCCTGACAGCAGCGCCTCACGGCGTGGGCTGCGAGGTCACTCGGGGTGACCCAGGGGGCGGCGGGGGAGCAATCTCCCGCCGGAGCAGCGGGTGATATTCCCGCTACTCGCTCGAGTTTGAGGTGCGCCGCGCCTCGCCTGTGCTGCCTTCCCAGCTGCCCCAGCCGCCCTCACCGTCCTCATCCCCTCCCCCACCCCCTCCCCCTCAGGCTAGGCCCTCGCCACCGCCGCTGCCGCCGTCTCCGCCACAGCCGCCGCCGCTTCCCTCCCCCCCACCCCCTCGACGCCGTCGCCTGGTA